TCGGCCCGTCCTGCTCCGCACTGGCCCCCCGGCGTGTCACGCCCTCGGCAGGCCCAGCCCAGCCCCGTGCCCCGGGGAGCACTGCGTCCATGTGAGCTCCCGCTGGCCTCTCGGTGCCAGTGCAGCAGCATCTGCGTCCGGCGAGCCCAGTGCCTCTGCCTCGCGTCACACCGCCCTTACCATGACCTGGATGATCCGGTCAATGGTGTCCTCGTCCACCTCGATGGCCCCGCGCTTGGTGGTGGCGTAGTGGTTGCGGTACAGCTCGGAGGGCATGTTGGCGATATCCAGCAGCCCCTGCTCGAAGAAGTTCTGGCTGGGGGCCACCGCGAAGAGCTTGATCCCTGCCTTCCGCGCCTCGTCCGCCTGCATCTTCATGCCCCCGCAGGGGCTGCCCGTCACGTGCCCGTCGGTGAGCACCACGGCAAAGTTGATGCCCTTGGCACCCTGGGCCATGACCTGCTGGGTCATGTTGGCGATGGCGCAGTCGGTGAAGGTGCCCCGGCCGATGTAGTTGACGGCGTTCAGCCGGCGGAGGTACAGGTCCTTGCTGTTGGTCCAGGGGCTGTAGATAAGTTCCACGTGATGGTGATCTGGTTCAGGTAGACCTCCGACTCCAGCTTGCTGATGAAGGCCTGGATGAACTGCTTCATGTGGTCCACCAGGCTCTGGATGGGCACAGTCTGCAGCGCGATGCTCTCCGAGGTGTCCATGATGAAGTACACATTGATGGGGCAGTCTGTCTTCTCTGTGCAGAGACAACGGAGCGGAGCAGGGGGCTCAGACTGCGGGTGCCCCCAGCGCCCCCCAGGGAGCGGAGCAGGGGGCTCAGACTGCAAGTGCCCCCAGCGCCCCCCACGGAGCGGAGCAGGGGGCTCAGACTGCGGGTGTCCCCAGTACTCGCCCGGCAGGGCAAACCATTTCCAGTGGGCACCACTCTGATTTATCAGCACTGGATTTCGTCTGCATTTCCCTGCCCAGTCACCCGGTTCGGTCTGCGCTGGGTTTTGTCTACACTGGCTTCAGAGCGGGTTTGGGAGGGAGGCGGGAGGAGCATTTCCAGCGGAGCAGGGGGCTCAGACTGCGGGTGTCCCCAGTACTCGCCCGGCAGGGCAAACCATTTCCAGTGGGCACCACTCTGATTTATCAGCACTGGATTTCGTCTGCATTTCCCTGCCCAGTCACCCGGTTCGGTCTGCGCTGGGTTTTGTCTACACTGGCTTCAGAGCGGGTTTGGGAGGGAGGCGGGAGGAGCATTTCCGTGGTAACAAAGAATGTCCATACAAACCGACCCTGCCGTGCTGTCTGCAGTGGCA